GCAGGACATGGGGTCTTGGGGCTGAAATAGGGGGTGTGGAGGGGCTATGGGGCTAGGGCTGCAAGGGGCTATGGGGCTGGGGTGTGCAGGCAGTGGGAATGTGAGGACTGTGTGGGGCTGGTGGGTGCTGGGGCCATGCATGGAGCTGTATGTCTGTGTGTGGGGCGATAGGGCTGTAGGGCTGAGCACAGAGCCCTGGGGTGGTTTGGGGCACACGAGGCACCCAGAAAAACGGGAGGCGCTTTGGAAAGGGTGCCGGGATGTGGGGAGCTGCAGTGTGTGCGGCTGCCTGGGGTCTCGGTGAACAGGCACCCGGGGGTGCCTGTGAGGGGCAGGGCGTGCCCGGGGGGAGCTTCCCCGCCACTGTGGGGCACAGCTCAGCTGGGCCCCGGCCCCGCAGAAGAAGAGCCGGGAGGAGTCCAGCGGCGAAGGCAGCGGCGTGGAGATCCTGGCCAACCGGCCCTACACCGACGGCCCGGGGGGCAGYGGGCAGTACACGCACAAGATCTATCACGTGGGCTCCCACATCCCCAGCTGGTTCCGGGCTCTGCTGCCCAAGGCCGCGCTGCAGGTGGAGGAGGAGTCCTGGAACGCCTACCCCTACACACGTACCAGGTGCGGGGGGCGCAGCCTCGTCCTGCCCCCCACTGAGGGACTTCGGGGCAGGGGGTGCTTAGGGCTCGTTGCCCCGTGCGTTTGACTGGTGCCTCCTGCAGATACACCTGCCCCTTTGTGGAGAAGTTCTCCATTGAGATTGAGACTTACTACCGGCCCGACTGTGGGCAGCAGGCGAACGTCTTCAACCTGAGCGCCGCCGAGAAGAGGCAGCGGATTTTGGGTACGAGCCGCGGGGTGCCAAGGAGGAGCGAAGCCGGAGCGGAGCCTTCCCAGCGGCGTTCCCACGGGATGGGATGGGACGGAATGGAACGCGCGTGGCTTCCCACGGAGCAGCCCTGCGCGCCCTGGGGCAGCTCTCGCCTATAACTGGATGGGCTGTGGCTCTTGAGTTTGGGGCTGGGTGCTGCGAGCTCCTTGCTGATTGCTCTGTGGATTCAGTGCGGAATCAGGAGGATTCTGCACCGAAAATGCCGTGGAGGGCGGCATGGCCCCTGGCTTCCTTGATCTTTAATTCCCAGCTCTTCCCTTCCTGGGCTCTAGCACCTTGGTGCTGCCGGGGGAGCCGCTCCCTCCTCTTTCCTTATCCCATCCCATCTTCCTGGGTGCAGTTTTGCCTTCCCGAGGCCTCTTTCAAGAAGAGCAGGTGTGCGTGGGAACACCCTGAGGGCTCGTGGAGGGGATCTGGGGACACGCCATGGCTTAGCAGAAAAGAGGGAGTTGGGAAGAGGGAATTGGGAACAAGTCCCCTGCTTTCCAACAGGAACAGCTGGAAACCTCACGGGGAGAGATGAAACCACCTCCCTTTGAGCACCTTTCCCTCCCCACTGTTCCTGTCTCCGCTGCTTTCCCCCATATTCCACAGTGCTTCCATCCAGGTCGCTCCGGTGCTCCCTGGCAGTGCTGAAGAGGGTTCCCATGGGAGAGCCTGGATGCCTGGGTGGGATTCGGGAGCCATGGGGCCGTTTTGGCCCTTGCCAGCCCCCTTCCCGGGCGGCAGGGAGCTCACCACTTTAGGCACCACGCGCCGCCTCTTAAAATGGAGGCCTTAAAATAGGCACTTGGAGGAAATGATTCATCTGACCTATTTCTTTCATTGGCCCGGCTGGCGTCTGGGGATGTCCGGCTTGCACGTTGGCAGCGCAAATCGGAGCCGGGGGACAGATCCTGCAGTCCTCGGGCTGTGACTGAACAGCAGTGACCCTGACACCGGGTGGTCCCCCGACCCTGGGGCTGCAGCCTTTGCTCCGGCTTCTCCCCGGCCTCTTTTGCCACGGGCTTTTTGCAGGGCCTGGTGGCTGCGTCTTGGCTGCTGCCACCAGAGGCTTCTCCTTGGAGAGCTGGCATCGTGTCCCGTTGCGCCGGCCAGTCCCGTTTGGAATTTTCTTTGCTGGCTTGTGCTCTTCCCTTGGTGTCCTGTGACACCTCAGATTTAAATCCCAGGCCATCCGGATCACCTTTCAGAGGGTGGCTGAAGGCAGAGTAAATGCCAAGGTTTGCACTCCAGGGTCCGAACCAGTCTCCTTTTCCCCTTGCGAAATGCCCGGCTGCCTCCTCGCAGGTTCCTTTTTGTCCCGTAGCAGCACGAGCGAATAGACCCGCAAGTCACTGCAGGGATAACAGTGCAATGGGGCTGGTGCTCAGCTTTGTCTCAGCTCCTCTCAGAGCCTTCAYTCCTGCCGAGCCCCCTCTCGTGCCGTCCACGTGCTGAGTCGCTCTTTCGCACCCATTTTCCCCCATAATTCCTGCCCCCGAAGCACTTGCAGCCAGCTGGGAGTGCTGCTTCCTGCGCCACGTGCAGGTTGCTCCCCAGTGAGGGCCAGGGATGTCTCTCGGGGCAAGTTGGCAACTGCGGGACGTGCTGCGAGTTGCTGCCGTTCTCGGCTGTTAGCGCTGGCAGCGCAGAGTCCTGCTGCAGTTCCCCCACCGTCCGGGCATATCGTGGTGGGATCTGAGCTGCTCGGCGAGTTGCTCGGGTGCTTTTTGGTATAAGGATCTCCYCGGCGTTGGGGTGCAGCTGGGTCTGTGCGTGTCCCCGGCTGCCTGCTCGAGTTCTGCTGCGTGGGGCCTCGTGCAGCCCCTGCCATCAAACGAGCCCCAGACTGCGGCCTTGGAGCTGGCCTAGTCTGTGCATCTCCTGGCCTGGTGCTGAACTGTGTTTTTAGGGGGTTTCATGGTCTAAGGAGCCAGGAATGGCTGCTCCTTTCTGGATTGCTTGCGGAATCATGGCTTATATGTTATTTCTCATCCAGCAGTCTAGAAAATACCACTGGAAAGGACTTGCCTGGGCTGTAGAGAGGGGTATTCCTGGGGGTATTCCTGCCATGCCGCAGCACTTGGATCTGGGGCGCCTGCAGGACATGCAGGTATCGGGGTCCCSAGGCAATGCCGCCGGTGCAGCCACGTTCAGGGTGACAACACAAGGCTCTTGCAGCTGTGGGGCTGTCACTTTCCACACTCCCAGAGCTCCTTCTGCTCCTCCTTGAGCAACAGAGCCTGTTTTTTACCCCGAACTCTGGGGCTTTCCAGACTGTCCTGGCAGTAGAAAGAGCTAATACAGCTGAGGCAGGTGTGTCTTGTTCTTCCAAATGTCCTTCCGCTTTGCCCCATCCTTTGGAGGGATGCCAGGTTCGGATCTTGTCCTGCTGGWTATGGACCCTGGATGCAGCAGGAGGGGGATGCGGCTGGTCCTGCCCTGTAGCTCCAGTGCCTGATGCTGCCGCCTYGCACAGTTCTTCCCGCCTCGAGTTGCCTGCCCAGCTCCTCATCCTTAAGCTCYGGGCTTTCCTGCTGGAGCTGGGAGGCCTGGGGCAAGGGGACATGCGGCAAGGAGGGTCCTCCAGCATCTGCAGCGCAGGAGGCCTCGCTGGYGGCACCGCGAGCCCAAGGCTGCCGAGCTCCTCGTGTCCCTTCGAGTCGCCCGAGTCTTTCAGCCGCTGGGTCCCCTTGCTAGCGAGGGAAGTGGGATTTGTCCCTGCATCTCTCCTCGTGCTGCGTCAGCGAGAGAAGGGATCTGGGTTTAGCCAAAGGTGGCTTTGGACCACTGTTTTTGGGGGGTGGAAAGTGGTTGTTGGCGGCACCAGCTTCCCCATGGGGCCAAACTCTTGGCCCTCCCCTCTCCTGTTCCCTCCCACATCTCTGCCCCAAGCTTAGGGCTGTAGCAAGCCCTGCATCCCGCAGGGCTCAGCRCCTCGCTCTGCCCCACAGACACCATCGACATCGTGCGCGACCCCATCTCCCCTGGCGAGTACAAGGCTGAGGAGGACCCCAAGCTCTACCGCTCCGCCAAGACAGGCCGGGGCCCGCTGGGTGACGACTGGCTGGAGGCAGCGGCCGGCGGGCCCCTCATGTGCGCCTACAAGCTCTGCAAGGTGGAGTTTCGCTACTGGGGCATGCAGTCCAAAATCGAGCAGTTCATCCACGACGTAGGTGAGCGCAGCGACCCCCACCCCCTGCAGCCTGCCCCTCGGCGTGGGCGCTGCGGGCCCTGGCATGGGCGCTGTGGGGCTGTGCCCGGTGTCCGTCGCCCGTTGTCCTTATGCAAGGAGCGGGCGCAGGGAGCCGTAAGACAGCCGGAACAGGCTGCCCAGGGGAGCTGTGGAGTCTCCTTCTCTGGAGGTCTTCCAAACCTGCCTGGATGCTGCCCTGTGCCCCGTGCTCTGGGTGTCCCTGCTCCAGCAGGAAGGTTGGACTAGATGATCTCTAGAGGTCCCTTCCAACCTCAGCCATTCTGTGACTCTATGTGATTCTGTGAAGCCCCTGGGAACCAACCGTGCACAGCAGGTTGGGGTGGGATGCACGTACGAGACAGGCAGCTGGAGGGGCTGAAGTGGCTGGTGGGGAGCCCTGGAGGCCTTCAAGAGCTCCGGGAGCATCTGGGGGCGGGCAACGCAGGCCGGGCGGCGCTCACCTCTGCTGCAGGCCTGCGCAAGGTGATGCTGCGAGCGCACCGCCAGGCCTGGTGCTGGCAGGACGAGTGGACGGAGCTCACCATGGAGGACATCCGGCAGCTGGAAGAGGAGACRGCCCGCATGCTGGCACAGAAGATGGCCAAGTGCAGCGAGGCCGAGGAGGCGCCCGCAGCCGGTGCCGAGGGCTGCCCGGAGCTGGGCGATGCCGATGGGCAGGACGGCGCTGAGCCACAGGGGACAGCTGATTCCTCCCCCGATGATACCTTTGCCAAGCAGTGGTCCACGTCTTCCCGGTCATCTTACTCTTCCCAGCACGGAGGTGAGAGCCCTGGCTGGCAAGAGGGACTGTCTGTGAAGTGGGGTGGGTAGAAGATGGGAATGCAGGAGCCTTCCTCGGGAGGGAATGCTGTAGCTGGGGATGGGGGCCGTGTTTTTCCAAACTTGTACCTTCCAGTGGGTGGTTCTGGGCTCGAGAGCTGCCACAGGGGCTTGGGCAGCAGGACGKGTAAGTCCCATGGAGCAGAAGCGATGCTGCAAAGGGAGTGCTGGGCTCTGAGCCCTCCTCTGGGGTAGGGGGGGTGTCTCCTCAGAGCCTCTCCGAGTGGCGCATGCAGAACATTGCCCGGGACTCCGAGAACAGCTCTGAGGAGGAATTCTTCGATGCCCACGGTACAGCAGCCCACAATCTGTGGTCGACATGTTGGGGTGTTGGTGGTCAAGAGCCCTAGGCCCTGATGGAGAGGGAGTCCTCGCTGTAGCCTCTTCGCCTGTGCACTGGGTGGGCTGGAATCCCGTGCTCCGGGAAAGGATCCCGGGGTGGGATGCCGTGGGCAGAGAGGGGTGTAGGTGCCCCTGCCCATGACACTCTCCTTGCTGCTCAGAGGACCTGTCTGACAGCGATGAGGTCTTTGCGAAGGAGATGACCAAGTGGAGCTCTAACGACTTCCTGGACACGCTGGAGCGGCCGGTGGAGCTGGATGAACCGCTGGGTGAGTCCGGGGCAACTGTGAGCCCCGTGTGGTGGGGGCTGGAGTGGCGAAGGACAGGACAGCAGCCAGATCCCTCTTGGGAAACGCCAGGTCGGCTCACACGAGGACTCCTTTTGCAGGGGACGGGGCCGGTGGTACCAAGGCCGATGGTGAAGGGCTGGTGGGGCCCAGCCTGCCGGAGGTGGGTGCCCTTTTGTCCCCAGGACAGGGAAATGTAGCCGTGCCTTCGGTGGCRTGGGGGCCACCGCGGGACCAGTGGCAGCACTCTCCTTCCCGCAGGGCGCCTCAGCAGGGAGCGCAGCACAGGCCTGCCGCATCCACGTGCTCTTCCTCATCCTGCACAGCGGGAACATCCTGGACCAGGGCGTGGGCGAGCCGGGCTCCAAGCAGGCGGACGTGCAGACGCTGGCGGCCACTTTCGATGCTGTCACCCGCGTCCACTTCCCGGAGGCATTGGGGCATGTGGCACTGCGCCTGGTTCCCTGCCCGCCCATCTGTGCTGCTGCTTATGCCCTCGTCTCCAAGTACGCCTGGCCAGGGGGCGTGGGAGGTGGGGCTCGGGGTGACGTATTCTGCTACGGGCAGGCAAGGACGTCATTTTCCCTGGGAAATGGCCCAGAAGCCATTGGGAGGAGAATGGCTGTGGAGAGGGGACTCCTGACCTGGCACCAGTGGGTGCAAAGGGTAACACGACAGGGCAGGGACTGCCCGGCTTATTCTCTCCCATGTCCCTTAGGCTCAGCCCGTACAGCCACGACAGGGACAGCCTGTCCAGCAGCCAAGACCACATCCCGCTGGCAGCCCTTCCCCTCCTGGCCACGTCCTCGGGGAGCTACCAGCATGCGGTGGGCACCGTCATCACCCGCGCCAACCAGGCTTACAGCACCTTCCTGCACTCCGCCGAGGGYGCTGGTTTCTGCGGCCAGGTGAGAAGTGCCAGAGGGTCTGGCCAAATAGGTCCTTAATCTATAAGTTGCGGGAGGATTTGCGGGGAATACTGCTCCTTCCCCGGCACCTGTTGCTGGTCGTGAGGCTTTTGGAGCTTGGCTCCGATCCGAATGTTTTTTTTCCAGTGTCCAAAGGGCAGAGGGTTTGGGGGCTCGGAGGCTCTCCCTTCTGCTCCTCGGCATGGGTCTGGGCCGTCCCGCAGGTGGTGCTGGTTGGGGACTGCGTGGGAGGCATCCTGGGCTTCGACGCGCTGTGCCAAAGCCGAGCAGGCTCAGGGGGCAGCCGGAGCAGCAGCCGCCGGGGCAGCCTGGTGAGTGCCCTGCACCCCTATTCCCGCCTGCCTGCCCGTATCCCGATGTGTTTGCGGGTGCAGGTGCCCCTGTGGCCAGGCGCTCATTGCTTTTCCTCTCGCAGAGCATGGAGCCCATCTCTCCTGAGCTGGGCGGTGGGAGAGACCCGCTGGCTGAAGGCGCWGACGGAGCGGGAGGATCGGCCCAGGTCCATGCCGAGCCGGGGGCGCAGCTGCCCTCGCCGGAGCCTGGGGACTGTCAGCCCCACAGCTCCTTGGGCAGGTGAGCGCCCCCTGAGCGCTGGGGCGCAGCTGGGAAGCAGCAGACGTGCCGCTGTGGGTGGAAGGCGTGTGGCCACTTTTTGAGGAGATTGCGTTTTGTGACCTATGTTGTGTTTTATGTCTGGGGCGGCTGGGAAATGCCCCTATTGCGGCCTCCTGGGAGATCTGGCCTGGGAAGGGGCTTTGCAGGGGGTTAGTCTGGAGCTCCCCGGCTGCCAGAACCTGACAGCTTTGCCTGTCCAAGCAGTGGCTCCTGCTTGGGGGCAAGCAGAAGTCACTGGGGGCAGGGAGGCCCCGTGTCTGCTGGCCAAGGCTCACTGTGCTCCGCTCCACAGCCCGCAGGCCAGCGAGGCCCCGCCAGAGGCGGAGGCACCCCGGGGTGGTAGCTCGGCGCTGGATGGGGCTGAGGGCGCCAGCGCCCGTCTTGACTTTAAGGTATCCGGCTTCTTCCTCTTTGGCTCTCCACTGGGGCTGGTGCTAGCGCTGCGCAAGACCGTCATGCCTGCTATGGATGGTGAGGAACCCCGTGAGCCGTGAGGCCTCGTGGCACAGGCCCCGGCCCTCCCTGCTCCGTCAGGCCGTCGTGGGGGTGCCGAGGCTGGGCTCGCCCCCTGTGCCCACTGAGAAATGAGTCGTGCTCCCCTGGGGCCTCCCCACACAGCCTTGCTTAGGTTGGAGCCCCCTCCAGGCTGAGCCCCATCTTTGCTGCCCCCGATGTTTGCGTGTGCCTGAGCACCCCCTGCCCTGGACCACCCTGAGCATGGCCCGCCCCGCGGCCCAGCCTGTGGACGTGTCCCTTGCTCAGGCCAAAGCGCCTGGGCTGGTTCTCAACCTGGGCTTGGCTCTCCCAGCACGCAGCTGGATGCAGCCTCTCCAGGGCTGATGGAGGGACTTTAGGCTCAGCGTTTCCCCCAGGCCTGGCCTTTCCCCTTGCTTCGTGAGGCCCCGAATGCACTGTGAGCTCCTTTGCCTGCCACAGGCCTCTCCTTCCCACCTGTGCCCTGGGGCTCCCTGGCTACCCTGGGGCTCCTTGTCACCAGCCACGCAGGCTGGGTGGCCTCAGGAGCACCAACCCCTTCTCTTTGCGCCACAGTGGCCCAGCTGCGTCCTGCCTGCGAGCAGATCTACAACCTCTTCCATGCGGCTGACCCCTGCGCCTCTCGCCTGGAGCCCCTCTTGGCCAAGGCCTTCCACGCGGTGCCGCCTCTCGGCGTGCCCCGCTACCAGAAGTACCCACTGGGAGACGGCACCTCCTCACTCCTGGGTGAGCGCCTCGCTGGCGGCGCTGGGAAGGGGCAGGGGGCCCTGGCCACCTCTGCAGCCCCCTTCAGGTGCCCAGCGCAGAAGTCGTGGTGGGATTTTCCCCACGTTTGGGCTCTCTGGGTTGTGGAGGCTGGTGCTGATTCTGCTTCCCCAGCTTCTGACTGATGGGAGATGCTGGGAAAGCCAAGAGGCACCTTAGTGAGCATGCCGGGGGGAGGAGAAGAGCAGAAGAGCCCACGGCAGTGGCCACAACATGACTGGGCATCCCCAAAGGGGCTTTGGGCCTTTGAGGAGAGCCCATGCAGGCCCCAGTGCTTCCACCTCATGCCGTGCTCTCCGTGGCTCTGCAGCAGAGGCCCTGCAGACGCACTCCTCCCTCTTCCTGGCTGAGGTAGACGTTGCTGTCCCTAGCACTCCCACCGGTGGTTTCGGAGGCTTCTGGAGAGGCAACGAGACGGGAGAACCTCCCACACCTGCCAGCACCAGTGAAGTCGTCAAGAGTAAGTGCTGGCACCTGGCCTGGGGTGTCTGTGCTGTAATGGGCTTGGCCATAAGAGCTGGGGCTAGGGCAAGGCGAAAGCTTCTGAGATGTGATGCAGAGCAGGAGCTGGGCTCAGCATGGGTGGGTTATGGGGCAGGGTACAGGTGGGATTCATCTCGAGATGGATCCATATGAACTCGCGCTGCCCTCCCCACAGTCCTGGAGCGCTGGTGGGGCCCGAAGCGCATCGACTACTCGCTGTACTGCCCCGACGCGCTGACCGCCTTCCCCACCATCACGCTGCCTCACCTCTTCCATGCCAGCTACTGGGAGTCCTCTGACGTGGTGGCCTTCATCTTGCGGCAGGTAGGGCGTGTGCGCGGCTGGCTGTGGCGGCATGGCCTGGACCGGGGAGGTTTAACTGAGCTGAGGCTGTGCTGCTCCACAGGTGATGGAGAAGGAGGGTCCGCAACCCACGGAGAGCGAGGAGAGCTCCATCTACAGCCCTGCTATCCCGCGGGAGAAGTGGCAACGCAAGCGCACCCAAGTGAAGATTCGGGTACGTGCCCTCTGGGGCTGTGTGTGCCAGGTTGCTGCGTTCTGGGCCTTGCCCGCCTGGAATTTTACCCTTCCCTAGGGCAGGTGTGGGGCTCGAGCTGCCCTGAGGTGCTTGACCTTACCTGCCAGGCTCTGGGCACAGCCAGATGTCTGCCTGCCTGGGCTAGAGGGTGAAGGGAATGGGAAAGGTGATGGGTGAAGGAGGATGAAACTCAAGGTCCCTTCCAGAGGGTGGTCTTGCCTGTGCTTGTTTCAGTCAATTGATCGACCTGGAGCAGATGCTTAGGCCAAAAGGAATCTGGTGACAACAGCACTGTTGTTGCTGCTGAGTCTCATGTGGTCCTTGCAGAACGTGACAGCCAACCACCGGGCGAGCGACACCATTGTGTGTGAGGGCAAACCCCAAGTCCTCAGCGGGCGCTTCATGTACGGACCCTTGGACGTGGTGACACTCACAGGGGAGAAGGTATCGCTGGCACTTACGGGGCCCCTGGGACCTGCTGGGGATCTAGGAGGATAGGGCTGATGTCTGCTGTGGCCTAGGCGACAGGGGGAACGGTTATAAGGAGCAAGACCCTTCAGGGTCCTTTGAGGTGGTGGGAAAGAGGCAGAGTGTCTTGTATGGTGGAGTATGGTGGGGACGCAACAGCCATCACGACCTGATAGGGTGGGTGAGGCCAGTCCTTGATGGGCCCTTTCCCCCCCAACCCAGGTGGATATCTACATCATGACGCAGCCGCTGTCGGGCAAATGGCTGCACTACGGCACAGAGGTGACCAGCGGCAGTGGGCGCCTGGCGTTCACCATCCCTCCAGACAAAGCCTTGGCCATTGGCATCTACCCCGTGCGCATGGTGGTGAGGTGAGAGACGGCTAGGGCTGATGCTCGCCTTGGCGCAGGCTGGGGTGCCTTTGCTTTGTCCTTGTCGTGTGCGCCCTCACAGCCCCTGGGTGACACAGGAGGAAGCCCTGTGGGAGGGCAAGTGTGTCGGGTGCTGGAGGGTGGGGGGTCCCTGCAGAGCTGCTGGGTGTTGGGCTCTGATGCTCTCTGCTCTTCTGTGCCAGGGGCGATCACAGCTATGCAGAGGCGTATCTGACCGTGGTGGCACGGGGCACTGAGTCAGTTGTGTTCAGCATCGATGGCTCCTTCACAGCCAGCGTTTCCATCATGGGCAGCGACCCTAAAGTGCGGGCTGGGGCTGTTGATGTCGTAAGGTACGTGCCCATCTCAGAGGGGTGGCAAACACCCTCTTATGTCGTGACTCCTGCAATGGCCCGTTTGTGAGATCGGGGTAGCGGGCGGGGATGGCAAAGCAGCCTTCTGTCCCCTGGGAGAGCTGGAGCTACTGTTCACTCCCTGCAAAGGCCTTGCCTGCAGCCTTGTGCCCTTCCTCTCCTGGCAGCTTCTTGCGGAAGCTCTGCACCTGGGCCCCATGTGCTGGCCCATGGCTGGAGACAAGACCTGGAGGGAGGGAGCTGCTTTGGCTGGGCCTACTCTAGTGCTGGGCCCGCTCAGCACGTCCCACCAGCAGGCCTAGGAGGCAGCTTTCCTGGTGAAGCTGCTCTGAGCTCTTCCTGGTGATGCTAGTGATTGAGTTTAACCATAGAAGTCAGCTGTGGTAAGACACAGCTCTGCTGGGTGTCCCCAGTTGCTGAAGTCCTCACCAGAGGAAGAAGCGTGGCCTTTGGGCAGGCACAGGGCAGGATTTAATGCGTGGGGCGAGCTCTGAGAGCCACAGTCTGCCCTCTCCCCCTCAGGCCTCTTCCTGTCCTTCTGGTCACTCTGGAACTGAYGACTTCCCCTTTCCTCTAACAAACACCCCGACATCAGTGGTTTAGTAGGGGGGTTGKGGAATGTTTATGGTAAAGCCAGTGTACTCAACAGTCATATCCCCTTCTGGTCCTCCTGGTGACCGCAGCCATCTCTGCCTGGCCCCACGGAGGCGGCACTTTCCCTCTTGTTCCCCAATAGGCTGTGTTTGTCTCCTAGCCCTGCCCTGGTGCCTGGGGCTGGGTCCCGCAAGCCTTTCCAGCCTTCCGTCCCACTGCTGTGTGTGCCACACACCCCATCTTGCTGCCCATCCTGTGGCCCCGCTGTTTGCGTGGGGTGCTGCGGTGCCCTCCGAGCCTCCCTCATGCAGGGATGCGTCTTCCCCTTTTCCAGGCACTGGCAGGACTCAGGCTACATGATCATCTACGTGACGGGCCGCCCTGACATGCAGAAGCACCGCGTGGTGGCCTGGCTCTCCCAGCACAACTTCCCGCATGGCGCCGTCTCCTTCTGCGATGGTCTCACCCATGACCCACTGCGCCAGAAGGCGGCTTTCCTGCAGAGCCTGCGCACTGAGGTGGGCCCCGGCGCCAGCTGCTTAGCGCTGGAGACTGGGGCAGGATGGGAGCAGAGGTCTTGCCGAGGTGGCTTGTGATGATGGTTGTGTGACCAAGGCTGTACTSTGGTCCCCTGCCCTTCTCCACCCCTGGGATTGGAGCATGGAGGAGCTGCGTAGTGGTGCTCGGAGCTGGGCCTGGTTGTGGGGGCAGAGCCTCATGTCACCATTATTGCYCCGGAGTGGGGACAGGGAGGCTTGTGGCATGGAGGAGGGTGGGAAGAGGCAACTTGCAGGACTGGAACTGCCCATGAGGGAGTCTTGGTCCCTACGCTTTGCCCTGAGCTCTAGCCCAAGGCAGCCAGAACCCAGGGCATCCATGGCCTCTCTGCCCTGGGAATCGTTGGATTTGTGGGGGGAAGTGGTCAGTCCCTACCCTGACGTGGCTCTTCCTGTCCATGGCCAGGCAGAGATCGCCATTGTCGCCGGCTACGGCTCCACCAAGGACATCTCTGTCTATAGCTCCCTGGGCCTTTCYCCGGCGCACATCTACATTGTGGGCCGGGCCGTGAAGAAGTTTCACAACCAGTGCCAGGTACGGAGGCTAAGCTGGTGGAGGGTAGACGACATGCTGATGGGGTGGCAGGAGCAGGATTGTCCTTGCTGGGCCATGAGGCCTGGCAGGAGGTGGCAGCGCTCAAGCTGTCCGTGTCCTCCAGTTCCTCTCTGAAGGCTACGTCGCCCACCTGGCCCAGCTTGAGACGGCATCCCTGGCCCACTCCCCCAAAGGGCCACCCCGGCCCACGCTGGGCAAAGGCACCTATGGCTGCCCGGCGCCCGTYGACTTCCTGCGCAAGCAGAGCCAACTGCTGCGCTCTCGGGGGCCGAGCCAGGCGGAGCGTGACGCGGCGCCGCCGCCGGGCCTGCCCCGCTCCAAGCCCCGCAGCGTCAGCCTCAAGCTGGAGAGCGAGGAGTGAGCGGGGGACGGCCCCCATCTCATCACCATCGGGCGCCCGCAGCCTCCGTTCACCAGGCAGGAGTGCCCGCTCCGTTAACCAGCACCGCGTCCCATGGCAGGCCTGGAGCTGATGCCCTGCAGAGGGAGGCCCTGGGGTGAAGCTCGCAGGGCCCTGAAGGACAGGGCCTCCCTTGGCGCGGAGCCACCACGGCTCGTGCCCGYTGCCCCAAAGCCTCTCCCCAGCCTCTCCATCCTGTCCCCCCTGTTCCTGAGGCCCTGTTTCTCCAGGTTCATGGGAACTACGGCTGGGCACTGCCCTCTGGGTTTTGAACCTCCTGCCCCAGCCTTTCCTTCCAGCAGGTTTGGGCAGCAGGGGCCCTGCCCTTGGCAGGGTTTTCTTGCCCTGCTTCCCTTCGTCCAGCATTTCTTCCCGCTGTGGTTCCCACTCCCTACCCTCATGCCCCTCAGGGCAGGGACAGCACTGGGAGCTTGTGGTTACACTCTGGGGCCCAGCAGCACCCTCCTTGTTTCCCGCCCCCACCCTTCTCCCCTGCACTTCCTTATTTATTTCCTTTTGGTGTTGAGACTTGTTGGGAAGGGGAAGGGCTACAATTCAACCGCGGTTCCTTTGTTCTGTTCATTCTGTCGCCATGTGAAATAAAGCGATGTAACGACAAGCAGCAGCGCTGCGTGTGGCTCCTCTCGYAGGCACGACGCTGGCAGTGGCGTGCCCATGTGGCACTGGGGCTCAGACATAAAACTGTCACCCGGGGCTGTGCACAGAGGTTCATGGACAAGTGCTCAGAGCTTGCCCAGGTGCAGGCTCTGTGGCTGGGGCAACCTTAGTCCTGCATTCTCACAAAGCAGCAAGCAGCTGCACTTGCCCCACATCCTCCCCTGCTGGCCCTGCTTTTGCTGCAGGCACTTTGAGCTCCTCGCAGGGATCAGACCTGGCTCCTGAGCTCTGGGCTGGTCCCTTCCCCCCAGCGCATGAAAGCTCCTAAGCCGCTTTCTCCTAAGCCAGCGTGGCCCTTGACCTGGCATCACGAGCCCTGCCCGGTGAGTGCAGAGCCAAGCACTGGCTGCTCCCGTGGCAGCCCCACGGGCCTGGCCAGAGCAGCTCAGGTGAGGGAGGCACATTGAGCCTCAGGCYCCTGCCCCCTCCTGCCCCTGCCCCCAGCAGTCACCTCCTCCTGCCTGCAGCGCTAAGTCCCTGGCCGGAGGCTAAATCCCGGCTCAAGGCTTGCAATCCCATCTCGGCGCTGGGCATGGCCACGAGGGGGGTAGTGGGCGGGGAGCTGCATCCAGCCAAGTTCTGAGCTGCCRGCTTGGACTGACAGCGCTCGGCCAGGCTGCAGGACGGGAAGTCACCTGCTGTCACTTAAGYTTCTATCAAGTAACGCAAAGTAGAACTGACCATCCCTGACTTAAACAAATGTGGACCAGGGTGGGAAAAAAACAAGGTTTAGGGATAAGCTTATTGTTAAAGCAACATCGCTTGTGTACGTATTAAATCTGCTTATATACTATGATCCTCTTGTCAGGCTCGCTGTGTCTGAACTTTTCTTGGCCCGCTCGCAGCTGTGAYGGCAACGTTTCTAATTGACCAGGGTCTGTGGCTAATGTTGTTTTATATTTGTTTATCTTTGGATAGTATGACTGTAGTTTTACACAGACAGCAGTAACAAGCAGTTATTCATTGAGTAAGATATTCAGGACTATAACAGAATGAGGCAGCATAAAGAAATACAGGCCTGGCCTGAGAGTAGAGGCCTTGAGAAATGGTGACACGAGATACAGCAGAGAGGAGCAGAGGCACGAAGCARTAAGAGCCAGGGCACAGACTTGGCACTGGAGACCCCATGACTATAAACAACTCAGCCAGAGCGTCATGGGGTTCATACAGCCCGACACGATGTATAAAACCCAAATGCTGAAGGCAGGAATTCCGATGAGAACAGTGGGCTTGAGCAGGCTTCAACACGCACGCACAGTCCTTCCTGGCTTGGCAGTGTGATGCCGAGCATAGTGTACAGACTGGCAACGAGATTCACATTTATACCGTGTTTCTACCATATACCACGATTGCTACACTCTGCTAGGGCTAATTCAAACGCGTAACATGACTTAAGTGCACAACTGTATCACTGCTAAGTCAAAACCCTGCGTAATGTCCAATCACTTCAAATAAGTAAAATCTGTATTAAACATTAATAAACAATAAACATTCCACATGTGGAATATCTAAAAGAACCTGGTCAGAGAGTTTTGGACTCTCTCGTGCGGCCGCGGGCTCTACTGGGAGAAGATGCCCTTGAAGCGGACCTTGTCCTCCTTGTCCTTCTCGCGCAGGCGGGCTTCCAGGCTGCGCAGCTCCTTGGCCACGACGGGGCGCAGCGAGGGGTCGAGTGCCAGCACCTTGGCAAAGTCAGCCTGCGCCTCGGCCACGTTCCACACGGCTGCGTGCGCCTTGCCCCGCTTGAAGTAGGCCTTGACGTTGTCTGCAAGGAGAGAGCTGCTGGCACGGCCTGGCATGACGGAGCGCCCCATCCTGCCCCACACAGCCTCGACAGCGCCCATTCGCCCCACGGGCACTTGCTGCGGCCGTCCGGTGGCCCCTTACCCTCGTACTTGTTGAGAATGGAGGAGCAGTGATCCAGCACCTCATAGTACTCCTGGCACTGCAGCTTGCACTGGCAATAGTTTAAGAGCAGCGGGGTGATTTTCTGGTCGAGTTCAATCCAATCCGGAGAGCCAGGCTGCTCCTGCCCAATAGAAGGACAAAAGGGAAGGGGAAGAGTGCAGCAAAGCTCCCAGGGGCAATGCAGGGAGGCCTGTGCGTGGGCCAAGGTTGCACAGAGAGGAGCTGGGGACTCTGACCTTCATCTGCAGGTTTTTGAGACATGCGATGGCATCGTAGTACTTGGAGGCTGCCTCGGGAACCTTGCCCTGCCGGTAGAGCTCGTTGCCTTCCTTGTGGATCAGCGGTACGGCCTGCAGCTTCTCCTCGTCCGTCATGGCCCAGGGGTCCTGCTGGTACGAGCCCGGCTCTTCCACCTGCCAGTGCCATTTCGTCAGAGAAGGTGTCTCCAGGGACTGCCCCACAGCATGGCAAGAGCCCCAGGTGCCTGGTGCCCAGAGCAAGTGTGGGAAGTGGCAAGTGTGTACCGGCCCCATGGTTCTGTCAGAACTCTGAACACCCTTGGGTCTGCAAGATCAGAAGACGGCCCCATGGTGCCCCGTGGGTGCCGATGCTCACCTTGAGCACTTCGATGTCGAAGATGAGGGGCTGTGGGTTCTTCTGCAGTTCATCGAGGTCGGCGTAGCCCAGTGAGTGGTGCTCGTGCAGCTGGGCAATGCCACAGCAGTGGCGCTGCCCCTCCAGCGGGTCCTTCCCCGCTGCAATGTTGCGCAGGCTCTTGGACACCATGGGGTAGAGCACGACGTGCTGCAGTGGGGTAGTGAGGGCACCGGGGTAGATGTGGTGGGCAGTAATGGGGAAGGGGCTTGTCCCAGCATGTGGGATAGATCCYGGCCCACGATATATCCCTGCCCCCCAGTAACAGAGGGGACACGGGGAGGGGGCGCGTGCCAAAATGAGCGCCAGGCCTTGGCCCCCGACGTG